CTCTCAGGTATCAAAACTGTCTCTAACTCATTCGATGCATCTCAACTCCACATTAATCCTCCTTTCTCTGAAGTTGTGGATTTTACTCAATCGTACGTATCAACCTCAACACATTTTACTTTTATATGCTATATAGTCTATGTCTAAAAACGATATACTTTTAAATACAGCTTACCAGAAGATGGTCTTGCCCTCACTGTTCGTGAGAATGTTCCGTTTGGTGCTATCGTTGCGGCTGGGAAAAAAGATAACTTTCTTGATTACCAGAGGAAAACAATTGCGGATCTGCTTCATTCATATGAGGTAATTCAGCCTACTTATTTCAATTCGGCCGAGTTTGAGAAAAAAATCCAGCCAACTTATTTCAATTCGCAGCTTTTTCACTTACAAAATTCACTTTATAGGTTGGCAAAGCTAGACTAATGTGCACCATCTATGCTATTGATACGGATTGGGCATGGTATTATATAAGCTGTGTTGCTTGCAACAAGAAAGTAACACCAATCCATCCAGCAGGAAGTGCTGTTCCTTCTAATAAGGATAAGCCCAAATTTTGGTGTGATAATTGCAGAATTGTTGTCACTAGAGTTGTTGCTAAGTAAGCCTAAATACTTACTTAGATTTAATATTTCTAAAGCTTTATCTATGCCACATGACTAATATTCTCATTACTCTCAAACACTAAATTATGCAGGTACATGCTCTACGCTAAGGTGATGGACGCCACTGGTGAGTCTAAGTGTCTGCTATTTGATACCGTAGCTGAAGATATCATTGGGGCATCTGCTAAAACCATACTTGGTGGATCACTCCAGGAGGTTAGATGATTTTTGTTTACTTAGTTGTATATCGTTACACGTATTTACATAGCCACAAATTGAATAATAGTCCACATATTTACATGGCCACTAATTGAATAATGGTTTTCAATTATGCATTTGTAGATTGATAATCCTGATGATATTCCTGATCAACTAAAGAACTTGGTTGGGAAAACTTTTCTTTTCCTTGTGGCCATTGGGAAAGAAAACATTTGGGGAGGAAAGGATACTTATAAAGTGTCTAAGGTTTTGCAAAAAGATGGCCTCCTTGTGGAAGAGACTCCACAAGAATCTACAGAAATGATGAATCCTGCAACTATTGTCTCTGGTGATCAGGTATTTACCTCAGTGTAAACTCAATTCCTAAAACTTATTATGATATGGTTATTTTAGTATGTGTATATTTAATAGTGGGGACATGTTTTTTAATTCTCAGCTGCTCATCACCTACAGTCAAGAAACTACAGAATCCAATACCCCATCCTCTAAGCGTGTCTATGCTGCTAATAATGATCCTGGTGAACAAACATCCACTTCTAAGAAGGTTTGCAGCAAGATTGTTGAT